AGGGGTGGGGTTGGGATGACCTCGAAGGCTCTGCTCAGAAGTACCTGAAGTGCTACTTATTATTGTTTAAACTGTTTTGGCAATTTGTGATCAGAAGTGACAGTGGCTTCAAGTGTCCACCAGGGAGAGCCCTGGACGCTGCTCCCTTCAGTGCTGGACTTGCTCTCTGCAACTGCTCTCTTTCTTCCTTCACTGCCAGGGGTCAGGAGTGGATCAATGTGTCTGCCACTCTTCCCCATTTTATTTACTGCTTCAACCAAGAATATTTTTAGCAAGGCACTTAAAAATGTTCTTTGCAGGGTGCGTTAAATAGCAAGACCTGAGAATCTACCTTATTATTCAAATATTAGAAATATGGTTTAGTATATTATTACCAAAATGACAAAAATAACATAAAAAAGATTAAGACTATGTAGCAACATGGAAAAATGTTTAAAACAGCAGCAAGGGAACAGAGAATGCATACCGGCCAAATATAAAAATACGTGGACATGAATTGTGGGTAAGATTATGAGTAACTAAAAAAAGTGTTTGAGGTGACAGTTACAGTCGGGTCACTGTTCCATCTACTGTGGACTGGGGATGCATTGTAGCAGCTCTAGTGCATGGGCTTCTAGCCCACAAGGCTAAGCAGAGCCGCCCCAGACAAGCACAGGGCAGAGCCCTCTACGTCACCCTGGGCGGACTGGCAGCGTTGGTTCTGGCTTGCCTCAGGGCCTGCCACTCCCTCTACTTCCCAGAATTTCATACCTTGAATAGGTCATATAGTTCCTCGAGGTCTTCCGGAAGAATTGAGACTTCTGGAGTGACAACACGGAGCTTGAGGGAAGAACAAACAGCAATGGAGTGAGTTCTTTGCTTGTACCTGGAGAATCAGGGGTGGGGGACAGGGGGTTCTTTCTACTAGTGTGGGACACCAGGTGTCCAGTGCCAGCTTCCCTGTCTGCTCGAGCAGTGTCTGCTCCTTTGTGACACAAAAATCACTTTATGGAGACTTTCTCAGGTGTTAATCCTTGGCCTTTCTAAGACACACACCAGGGCCTTCAGATAAATGTGTATGTTCTAATGGAAGTTAAACACTAGGCAAGAAGGAGCTGGGGCAGAAGGCTCTTCCTGAACAGCAGTGAACATGGCAGGCACGCATGCTGGGCATTTTCTCCACCTTACTCCTTCAGTCCCATGCCATGGGCGTCGTCAACAACCAGGAAACCTGTGGCTCACGGTGGTTAATTTGTTCGCAATCTGACTCTAAACCCTATGCTGTTTCTAGACCACACCACGCCTGTTAAGTTTTTAATTCAACTCAGATGCATTTTTACGTTAGAGAACAACAGGGGACACACCCAGGCCAGTGAAAGGCTTCCACTCACCACGTTCTGCTTTGTGGTCTCTTCATGGCCCTGCAGGACCCTGATCCGGTGCCGACAGCGCATATGCTCAATCTGCTCCACAGACTGGTTTCCAAATTTCTGTGGGGAGACAATGATGATCCGCTCACAGACTCTTTTGTATACAGAGGACATGAGGAGCAGCCCCCCAAACCTCCCTGAGGTCCATTTCCCCAGTATGCTCCCACAGGGTGGGATGGAACAGGACCAGTTACCTCATAGGAGTCCCGGATCAGGTCAGCAATGTCGGTCACAGGGTAGGGCTCCTGGTCATCAGAGAAAAACGCATGATGACTGCCAACTGGGGGTCCAGGGCTGTCCTCATTCTTAATGTGATCTAGAAACCTAAGCATACCACCTGGCATTAAAGTGCAGGCTGGCCCTCACTGGGCACCATCCAACACCAACTCCCTTCACAGGGGCCATAGCACAGCACTTTTAAACACAGCTCATCTGTCCCCAGACACCAAGAGGAGGCAAGGGAGCAACCGCTATGCACGTTTTAGAGAAAAGGAAAGAGCTATAAAGCCAGACTCGGTGGTGTAGGCTCCACAGTAGGTTTCCAGGGGTCTGCGACTCTCCAGTGAAGTAAATACAAACTTCTGTGTGTACACGCAGTTTTAAGCTTCCACAATATTCTGAAAGGGAACCTGTCATTTGTCAGCCAACCTGCCCTCAGCTCCAATAGACCTAGGTTCCAGTCCGTGGCCTAGAGGGACACACCAGCTCCTACTTGTATAAAATGTCTGAAACCTCCAGTTGGCTGCCTGAGGTTTTTCCCGGTGTCCGTCCTGTCCAAGGCTGCTTTGTGTTCATCTACACTCAAGACATTTGAACCTCAGGGAAGAGCACTGACAGCTCTCTCTCCCTCCCTTGCTTGGTAGAGAGGAATGAGGGAAGATGGCACTCTTTACCACATGCAGATGACAAGTGCCATCTGATGACCTGGCTTTAGGGGGACCACAGGGTGACAAGTGATAGAGCGGAAGGAAAGTTCCCACAGCGACAGCCCTGCAGGGCACCTGCTGCTGCCTCCTCCTGCCATCTGTCTTCTAGGGTTCCAGCTGCTGCCCACTCTGCCCCAGTCAGCCACCAAAACACAGCCCACCTGCTAAGGATCATCAGGGCCTGGCCATCATCCTTGCTGCTGCATAGGTCCTCAGTGTTGGCATCCAGCACAGCCAGCCCCAGCTGGAAGATGGCTTTGATCCCATCGTAGAAGAAGCAATCTACAACATTCACTGCACTCTCCAGAGGCATAATGCTGAGGAAAAGAGTCAGGAACCACGAGAGAGAGATGGACGCCAGAGCTGAGGGGTCATTCAGGTGCTCGGCCAGCTCGGGAAGGTGCTCCCTGGTGAGCTCCTCAAACACAGACTGGTCCACCTGGGCCCCTGGAGAAGGAAGGCCACACTCTCTAAAGTTAGCCTGAAACCAAAACCTCTCTGAGGTCAGAACAGCAAAACAGAATTGAGTCCAGAAAGGACTTGTACTTAGTTAACTGATTTTTGACATTTTGACGAAGGTAATTTGATGGGGAAAGGATAGTATTTTCAAAAAACAGTTGATAGATAGTCACGAGGATGGGGAGCACAGCACAGGGAATGCAGTCAACAGTAATGTCCTGGTCATCAGAGAAAAACGCATGATGACTGCCAACTGGGGGTCCAGGGCTGTCCTCATTCTTAATGTGATCTAGAAACCTAAGCATACCACCTGGCATTAAAGTGCAGGCTGGCCCTCACTGGGCACCATCCAACACCAACTCCCTTCACAGGGGCCATAGCACAGCACTTTTAAACACAGCTCATCTGTCCCCAGACACCAAGAGGAGGCAAGGGAGCAACCGCTATGCACGTTTTAGAGAAAAGGAAAGAGCTATAAAGCCAGACTCGGTGGTGTAGGCTCCACAGTAGGTTTCCAGGGGTCTGCGACTCTCCAGTGAAGTAAATACAAACTTCTGTGTGTACACGCAGTTTTAAGCTTCCACAATATTCTGAAAGGGAACCTGTCATTTGTCAGCCAACCTGCCCTCAGCTCCAATAGACCTAGGTTCCAGTCCGTGGCCTAGAGGGACACACCAGCTCCTACTTGTATAAAATGTCTGAAACCTCCAGTTGGCTGCCTGAGGTTTTTCCCGGTGTCCGTCCTGTCCAAGGCTGCTTTGTGTTCATCTACACTCAAGACATTTGAACCTCAGGGAAGAGCACTGACAGCTCTCTCTCCCTCCCTTGCTTGGTAGAGAGGAATGAGGGAAGATGGCACTCTTTACCACATGCAGATGACAAGTGCCATCTGATGACCTGGCTTTAGGGGGACCACAGGGTGACAAGTGATAGAGCGGCAGGAAAGTTCCCACAGCGACAGCCCTGCAGGGCACCTGCTGCTGCCTCCTCCTGCCATCTGTCTTCTAGGGTTCCAGCTGCTGCCCACTCTGCCCCAGTCAGCCACCAAAACACAGCCCACCTGCTAAGGATCATCAGGGCCTGGCCATCATCCTTGCTGCTGCATAGGTCCTCAGTGTTGGCATCCAGCACAGCCAGCCCCAGCTGGAAGATGGCTTTGATCCCATCGTAGAAGAAGCAATCTACAACATTCACTGCACTCTCCAGAGGCATAATGCTGAGGAAAAGAGTCAGGAACCACGAGAGAGAGATGGACGCCAGAGCTGAGGGGTCATTCAGGTGCTCGGCCAGCTCGGGAAGGTGCTCCCTGGTGAGCTCCTCAAACACAGACTGGTCCACCTGGGCCCCTGGAGAAGGAAGGCCACACTCTCTAAAGTTAGCCTGAAACCAAAACCTCTCTGAGGTCAGAACAGCAAAACAGAATTGAGTCCAGAAAGGACTTGTACTTAGTTAACTGATTTTTGACATTTTGACGAAGGTAATTTGATGGGGAAAGGATAGTATTTTCAAAAAACAGTTGATAGATAGTCACGAGGATGGGGAGCACAGCACAGGGAATGCAGTCAACAGTAATGTAATGGCTATGTGTAGAGCCAGAAAGAAGATAGAGTAATCAAGAGGATCGTTTCAAAAAATATATAAATGTCTAACCAATGTACCGTAGACTTGACATAAAATAAAATACAACACTAAAAAATTGTGGATGTTGTATGGATATTGGGGAAGAGCCTCAATCCCTACTTCACGTCACATAGAAAAATATATTTGAAATGGGTCACAGACCTAAAGATAAAAGCTAGCACTATATAACTTTGAAAACATAGGGAAAGGGAAAAGGCAAAGTTTCTTAGGACACCAAAAGCACTAAGTATAGAAAAAATTATAAATTGGACTTCATCAGCACTAAAGACTCATGTCCTTAAAAAGACACCATTAATAAAATGAAAATGTGAACTTCAAACTCAGAAAATATTTGCAAAAATACCTGACGAAGATCTTGTACTCAAAATAAAGAAGTCTTGCAACTTAGTAATAAGTCAGTAGCCAATTTTTTTTTTAAACAAGCATAAGACTTGAACAGACACTTCAGAAGAGATGTAGAATGGCCAGTAAGCATAAAAATATATGTTCAACATTATTAATCGAAGAGACGCAAATTAAAACCACCATATCTACCACTTCTCACCCACTAGAATGGCTAAAATTAAGAAGACAATTCCAAGTGTTAATGGGATGTGGAGTGACTGGGCACTCACGTCGCTGGTATGAGATCTGCGAATATATTATATACTCTTCGAAAAACTGACAGTTCTTATAGAGTTAAACATATTTCCAACCTATGACCCAGCAATTCTACTCCTAATATTCAAGAAAACTGAGAATATATAGTATTCACAAAAAGATACATGACTGTTCAATGCAACTTAGAATAAACAACTGGAAACAAATGTCTATCAATAGGTGATGGGATAAACACATGACGGTACACGTGCTCAGTGAAATACTGGGCAACAAGGAAAAGAGACAAACTCGTGATGTGCCAGCATCGTGTTGTGCAAAGGAAGCTAGTCATGAAAGAGAATACTCCCTATTATTACATTCATACTAAGTTTCAGGACAGGCCAAATGAATCTGTGGTGATAGAATTAATGCCGAGTGCTGCCTGTGGGGAAGGGGCAGAAGAGAACTTGGAGGGTTATGTAGAGGCTCCATGTGTTACACACTGCATGGGATGGGGTGTCACAAGTGTACACGTTATCACAGAGGGTCTGCTGGTCACTGGAATGTGAATTGTCCCTTAGCAACACTCGTCAACTGACAATACGCCTCCCATGACCTCAAGGTTCTGGTTATTCCTTGCTACTTGGTACACTAACTGCCTCCCACGATATCAAGTGGAAAGGGACACAAGCCAGGTAACCACATGGGCACATGAAGCGGGCCAGGTGAGATGGTCAGTCATACCGAAAGGCCACCTCCCTCACAGCCAGCCCTCCCCCTTACTCCCAGGGGTCATCACATCCCCTCAGTCTCAGGACATGAATCTTCCATCCCTTCTTCCTGACTTACCCCTATCCTCAGTCCTTTGGCAAATTCTGTCTCCAGTAGGTTCTATTGTTTCTGTTCCTGCTGCTGCTGCTACCCTACTTTTGGGCCATCTCCATCTCTTGTTTTAGATTACTGAAAAGTGCCCCTAAGAGTATCACTAAAGCAATTTTTGTGTCATTTTCTCCAATAGAAGGTTGCCAGACCACAGACATAGTGGAAATTCAAATGTCAACCACATGAAAGACAGAGGCACCAAGTGCAGCTACCAGTGAGCTTTCTTATTGTCACCTTATGCAAGTAGGGGCATTCTCCAAGTCTGCCCTTTGGTCTGGGCCTAATGGTGCCCTCCAGCCTTGGTCTGTGCTCCTTTTCTCCCATCCTGTCTGCAAGAGCTCCCTAGTACCAAGAGCAAGACCCCCTCCCTTTCCAGGCCACTGCATTAGTGAAAAACCTCTCCAGTTTTCACTTTTCGACTGGTTTCTTGAGCCTAGAATTTCTCTCTCCTTGTAAATTCAGCTATCCAAGTAATTTTTTTATACTAAAATTTGTCAGTGTTTGTAGCAAAAGAGCAATCAGGTTTCCTCATTCCACCATTTTGCCAAAACTATCCAGAGAATTATACCAGCTAGCTTTGCAAATCTAAGAGCCAAATCGTGTTTGTGAGAGAGAGAAGATTGCAGAACCAGGACTAGTGACAAATGTCCTTGCCTGGACCGAGGGACAGAGGAGGCGGCAGCTTACCGATGACCCGGAGGTTGAAGTAGTCGGGGAGCATCCGCTCACACAGGGCGACCAGCAACCAGAAGGCTTCCTCCTCCCTGGTGTACAGCAGCAAGACAGAGGTCAGGATGTTCATGGACTGCTCAGGGGTCACACAAGAGGGGACAGTCACTGACCAGGCCATGGAGGTCCACGGAGATGTTAAAAACACATAAGCCTAAATGACCCACAAAAGTCGAAATCTGGCATACCCCAACCACTAACACTCGTGTGGTGGAATGACCATGTGTCATATCAAGAAGATCCACTAGGCTAAGCCATCAGCCACCATTCTGTCACTGTCCCCATGTCAGCATAGCTGTGGTGCACCCCTCAGGCTCAGATTTAATCCATCTCTTCTGTTCGTGTTCAGACAGACAGATGGTAACACAAACAACTTCATTCACCCATTGATTTTGCTCATTCACAGGAAAACAAAGTTTAAAATCTTATATTTTTAAATGTCAGAAGCTTCTCTAATCCAGTCCTGGTTTGGGGACTTTTTATTGTTTACTGTTTATTTTGTGTTGTTTACTGCATCCCCGAGAAAACTGAGCAAACTTCCTGTGTCCTCAGGAACTGCTCAGAAGATGTCCTGCCAGTACTCATGCTTCTTGAAGGAAATGACCTGCCCCAAACATCTTTTTCCTCCCCAAATAGCACTGTCAGTTTTTAAACCATCTCTAGAAGTTCTGGAGGTCTAGACAGAGCTGTGTGGGGCATGAAGATGGCAGCACTCACAGGTACTCAGCCTGCATGCTGCCCTACGGGGCCCTGGGCAATGCCTCTAACCTCAAACGATCAGCCTGTCCGGCTCTACGAGGATGATTTCCTTTGGTCTCATTTGATACGTTCTTTGGGGGAAAGGACTAAGAATGGAGCATCCACATGACGGTCCTCAGTACTGGATGGCTCAGAACCATGGCATCCAGGGCCTGGGTCCCGATATAAGACGTGGACTAAAGGGTCTGCTCCTCAGCACACATCTCACCTGGCAGTACCCAATTTTGGGGTTCCGGTGGGCATAGGCTGTCAGGACTCTCCTCAAAGCAGCAATTCCTGTTTCGTTTTGGAAGGCGGGATGCTCCGGTAAGGAACGGTGCAGGTCTCGTTCTATCTCCTCTGTCACCAGGCAACATTTTCCCATGGACTCCTCCACCAGATGGCCATAGTAACCAGGATGTGAGGCAAGGTCAGTGACGGCATCTGACGATTTAACGGTAATTTTTCAAGGGGCACCGATTACCAGAAAAGTGTTAACATGGGGAAGGGGCCTGTCTCATCGGAGAACCTCAGTGGGGTCTCGTGATTCGAGGGACATGAACTATTTTGAGACCACACACAACCAAAAGGGCTTCATTTCTGCCAAAAACAGAAAAGAAAAAAAGAAAAAGAAACAACATGGATTTTCTAAAAATAACCCTATATAGAAAAGGGGAGAAGCTCATACGAGAGTTTTACCAACATGGTTTTCATAAACTGTGGTCCCCAATTACAGGAAGTATATATATGTGTGTACCTCTATACATATGCACATACATATGTACTTACATATATATGTACATACATAATTTTCATGCATTAACTTAACAAGAAGTTATTGAGTACCTATGTGGGAAGCACACGAGAAGGTACAATTATGATTAAGCAACACTAACAATCATCAAGGAGCCAATGAACTGCCAACAGGAAACAGGATCACGATGTGCAGGACAACCAAGCACTGCCCCCCACCAAGCTACTGCCCAGGCCTCTTGACAGGCAGGGACACCAGAGGATGAGTGAACCAACCCACGTGAGGGTTCTAGTCACTCACTGGCCAGTGCCAGGGCACCTGTGGTCTCAGCCAGTGCTCCCTCCCGGGGGCTGGCAGCAACTGATTCCCCAGTCCTGCTGCCAGCCCCACAAAGGGATGTCCCAGGAGAGCAGTAGGGACAGAAATGGCTCAGCTCTGCCTTTATCGGCTAGTTACTATTTAATTCTGATTGGGTTTATCATACCCTCCTCTTCAACTCCCCCACTGCCATGACTGTGACTTCTGTCACATCTAGGACACAGTCGCCATGGCATCCATGTGTAGTCACTCACTGCCGATGAAGGAAACATCCTACCACTGGAATGAAGACAGTCCTCTGCTAACTAAGCGGCTGCTTTATGTGTGTGAACAGTCATCCCTCAGCACCCAAGGAGGACTGCTTCCAGAACCCCCATTGGTTCCAAAGTCCAAAGATGCTTAAGTCCCTTCTTAAATGACAAAGTCTCTGCATATGACCTGCGTTTGCACAGAGACTGCAGCAGGGTCTGCTACACATCACGTCATTCTCACGGATTCAGTGTAGTGCTCAGCATGCGGCAATTTCAAGTTTTGCTTTTTCGAACTTTCTGGGATATTTTTCCCCAAAATTAAATATTTTCGATCTGTGGTTGGTTAAATCCACAGACGGGAAACCCACAGACATGGAGGGCTGACAGTACACATATATGAAACACATTCATTAAATATATCTGGAAGACCATAAACCCCGTTTTTTTGGCTGGATTACAAATGATGTTGCTTTTTTGCTCGCTCCTCCATATTTCCTGTTTAACTTCAAATAAAGGTTGTTTTTATTAAATGTAAAATTAAAGAAGACACCTTTCATTTTAAAAGGAAGTGTTCTGATGGTGTGTCTCTGGTAGGCAGCCATAGAAAGAAGCCAGGAGGTAGCGGGGAGACTCAGCTTGTGAATAAGGTGAGCAGTAGCTGGAGAGGTGTCAGTGATACTGACTGCATGATTGCTCCGAGTATGTGGGGAAGTGTGAATGCTGTACTTGGGTGTCTCAGGCAGGAGACAGGAGGGGCTGGGCTATTTGTGGGGAGAGACAAGGAAGAGGGCCGAGGGGGATGATCAGGGTGAGAGGCTGCCATGAGGGACAAGAAAAGTGAGTGGAGAGAGGACAGATGCCCAGGCCCAGGCTTCAGGAGGCTCACTGCTGATGTGAGCACAGCAGTGACATCTGAAAAAGTAGACCTCCTTGCCATGCCTCCCACAGCATCTTGAAGGTAGCAGCAAAGTCACACCACTAGACATCAAGGGCCTTCCCTTTCCTTTCCTTCCCCAGCCCCAGGTCCTCTACCGAGTGGGATGAAATGGCACGATCAGCGTGGAGACGGACAAATGTTCAACAGTCAAAAAGTCTGGTCCCAGTCTCAGCACATCTGCCAGGAAGTGTCCTGATGAGGGAACCCCAGAGGTCACCAAACAGCAGCAGAGGAAGCCTTAGGCCAGACAAGGCCAGCACTGAATGGGTCAAGTGGCACAGGAGGAAGAAGTGGGACAGAAGAGAAATCTGTGTGTTCTGCCCTTGGGGACACAGGTGTCTTCAAGGAGGAGGGACTTTATTTCAATGCCACTGCAAGTGAACAGCTTATGAAGACTGTTTGCTTTAGTCTATTTCTGAAGTCAGGTCCTAGAAGACACTTCCCTTCCAGGGGGTTGGTTCTCAACAGAATTCTCAGGACTATGTCTGGACTCCAAGTCATTTGTAAAGGAGAGATCACTGCAGCCAGACCCCGCACTGACCAAGGAGGACACCACAGGCTAGAGGCCTTGGACACTCTGACCGAGGTCCCACAGATGATAAAGTCAGGCTCTGAAGTCTCAGCTAGGAATATCACAGGAAGAATCCAAGGATGGATAACTACCATACACACACTGTTCAGACCTAGGCCTCTGTTCCTGCGTCTGCTCCAGAAATCAATTTGGCCTTAAAGACACCAGAATTGTTTACCTGAGAAAAGAAGCCAGAGTCTGCCACGCAAAGACTCAGGGATCCCCATGGCCACCAGCTTCCGGATCTTCTCTGTACGGAACATACACACGGTTCTGCCGTACTCCACAAAGTGGTCATTCCACAAGCTTGTTTTTATCTGCTCCCTGGACTGGAAATGGAAACGCCCTTAGTGTGCAAAGAAGCCCGTCTGACCTTCCACCAGCCCATCTACCATCTGAAACCAAGGAATGCCCTTCTGTAATGGTTACAGTTAACAGTAACAGGCAACATGTTTAGCAAATATTTTTGAATATCTAGAGGATGTAAAGATGAGAAACACAGAGCACCAGCCCTTGGGGAGCTCAGGCCCAGTGAGAGCATTTGCGCAAGTAAAATGTCATTTCCTTGGCAAAGTGAATAGGAAGAAACAGTCTTCCCAACACTAAAATAGCCCAAGGCAGATGGGGAGGTGGGGTAGGAATGGGGGCGTGAGGGGAAGCTTCTCAGGATGCTGACATGGAGCCAGCTGCTGAAACGCAAGTCAGCTTAGGGGCAGCAAAAGGGTATCAAAATTTGCCCTGAGCTTCTTGATAGCCAGAGGAAAAACTGAAATCTGAAAAAATGATGTTGCTCTCATTAGCAGAAGCAAGGAAGATAGTATTTCTCTAGGCAACTAAAAATCCTTTAAAATTATCCCTAGATAGCAGGAATTCTTAATGCCTTTTAATCAAGATGTTGATATAAGCTTTTGATTATCTTTATTCTCCAGTAATGGGAAAAGTTTACACATATACTCAGTACTCTTATGCGTCCAGTCAACAAAAGTTAATTGAGCGTCTCTGTGTAAAGTATATGAGAAGGTTCAGTTCTGACTGGATAAAGCTAACAGTCCATTATACAGAGCCACTAAGCAACCCAGACACAGCTTGGGGTAGGAACATTCACAGCCACCCCCATAGGTACTCATGGTCACAACATAGCTTCCCACCTACCATGCCACCATTTCAAAGTACAGTCTCTAGACTATGTACCCTACTATACCTGTCATTTCCCTCAGATTCTCCCTCCAAAGAGGAAAGCTATTAAGCAAATTTAACAAAAACATTTTTGGTTCAGTAAAATGAGAAGACAGGAGACCCTTTGTCCCAGAAGACAAAAAAGAAATACTGTAAGAAGGGGCACACACAGAGACACCACAGGATAAAAGGAGAAAGACTTATTGGAAAAACCTGAAAAAACCCACAGGGATGGCACTGGTGACTCCCACTTAAGGGGCAGGGAGGGCATGGACCCCTGCTGTTGCAAGGCATGGACCCCTGCTGTTGCACCACATCCTCAAGGCACCCAGCAGGCATCCATGAACCTCCTCTACTTTGGGCCAATGAAGCAAAGAGGGAGGAGCTGGCTGCTTGGGGTTGCCTGGCAATCTGCACCACACCTGCTCCCCTAGATGCCAAGCCACAGCAGGCCAGAGAGGCAACTCTGTGAGTGCCCAGCCAGGCCGAGTGCACCCACCATTCGTGAGTCGGGGCTCTGGCTGGCTGACTGCTGGAACACAGCTCTCAGGGCCTCGGGGTGCAGCCGTGGGCTCTTCTCTGTTCCGCTTCCCTCGCTATTTTGAGAAGACACCATTTCAAGATTCCCAAACTTGTGGTCACTGCACATGCTTGTTGAATGAAACGCAGGTGACATCTGCATGGGGGGATAAAAAGTGATATAAAGAAGAAAGTCATTGCTTTAATTATAAGCCAATCTTTGCATTGCCTTTGGGAGCACGAACATAACAAAGTCAAACATGCCTATTTATGACTCAAGGGAAAAACAGACTAAAATGAGACCCAATGGATTTGATTACCAAGAAGGAAGATGGGCCACACTGCAATTTGCCAGTGAGACTGCTCATGGCACCCAGAGCATGGGGCCCCTGGGGGCAAGAAGGCAGTACTTCTCGTCTGCAGAATTATCCTCCCTCAGCTTCCAGAATTGACAGGACCATCTTGAGAAAACAGCTTTAGGGTACTGAAAGGCTATCTCCTGTCCTCCTTGTCACTTTGGGGGAAGACAGGTTATGAAAGAAGAGACAGAAGTAAAAGGATAAGGAGGCTAGGCCCCAGCAGACCAGGTCCATTTTTGTAGCTGTCCAACTTCTCTTTCAGCAAGTTATAGCTGCCCCCAAATAATATCATCCCTCTACCTGGTGGTAGGGGCAGGAACTGACCCCTCTAATCTGTAAGGGAGTAGCCAGTCCCTTTCTCTGACATATGTATATGCCCATCAATCTCTAACATATGGAGGAGGATGCCCATCAACCCCACTAGCCTCTAGTGGAGGTGCCCTATCAACCCCTCTAACCTGATTGGGGTGCCCTGTTAGCCCCTCCAACCCGTGGGGTGCATACCCATCGGCCACTCTAACCTGTGTGAAGCCCCCTCTAACCTGCGCATCACCCACTCAGGATGCCCAGTGTATCAGAGATGGCACTGACCACCTGGCACACAGGCCCAATCATCACTATGTCCCCATGGATCATCGTTTTGTGCACTCCCTTTTGGAGACCACTGGCTAGAGGTAGTGAAAAATGGGGTTTCCAATGTATAGAAGTCCACTGTTTCGTACCATGTCGTCATCTTGTGAGGTGTCATAATGCACGGGGTGGTCGGCATGCACCTGCTTCAGCCTCACGAGCAGACTCTCCACCAAGTTGTCCCTGTCCTTAAGCTCGATGAACTGGAAGGCCATCTTGCTCCGGATGCTGATGATGATGGGGTTAGGCAGCAGACTTGTGTCCTCCATCTTCTCAATGCTTACCACCTGTGGCAAAAAAAATCATACGCACAAAGGTAAAGTGAGAAAGAAGGGAGGCAGGCATTTAATTACATACTCAGAAGATATCTTAAGACCGAAGGCAAAACAAAATCACTGCAATAAGGATCTGGTACAAAGATTAAAGGTATGTAAGGCAGCATATTCACAACAGTGAAAAGCGGAAGTAACTCAAGTGTCCCTCAACGGATCAGTCGATAAAGCAAATGCGGTCTATACATACAATTAAGAATTATTCAGCCTTAAAAAGGACAGATATTCTGACATGTGCTGCAACATGGATTAACTTTGAAGATGATATGCTAAGTGAAATAAATCAGTCATAAAAAGAAAAGACAAATACTGGACGATTCTACTTACATGAGGGAGCTAGAGCAGTCAAATTCATGGAAAGAGGATATAGAATGGCAGCTGCTAAGGGCTGGGGAGTGAAGGTTGGTGGCGTGGTGTGGAGTTGTTATTTAATGGTACACGGTTTTAATTTGAAAAGATAAAATTCTGGAGATGGCTGCACAACAATGTGAATTACTTAATGGCACTGAACTATAACACTTAAAAATGGTTAAAATGGTAAATGTTATGCATATAATTAAAAAAAATAAGTACATAAGACAACTCCTGGTTTCTTGCTCCACTTATAATAACGTTTTTAAAATAAAGACATCTGCTTAAGAAAAATGATATGGAGGTAAGAGGTCACATGAATGAAAAAACTGAGTTTTCCCAAAGGAGAGTGCTTAGTCCACATGTTACAACAGCAAGAATTTAGAGGTGTTGGTGTGCAACAGAGTTGTGAGCACTGTCACAGCAGGGATGCCACAAAACCAAAAGACTGAGCTCAGCAGGTCTGGAAGGATACTCAGGTTGCCCTCCATTTCTAAGAAGAGAATTAGTAAGAAAGGACCTGATCCATAAGAAAGGAAGCATTTTAAAAAATTTTAACTAGTTCCAGAGGGTGTAAAAGCCAAGCAATTTGACATTTATTTTCAAAAGGGATGCTTTTTGTAGGTTGCTTTTCTCTTTCCTTTTGTGGGTGCAAGGGGAAGACTCATGCCTAAGAGCTGTCGAACTAGCTTTAATTGCCAGGCACGTACTTTTTAATAACAGCTTTATTGACAGCATGGAAGTTAGCGTGCCCTAGTCTCACCACTTTTATACGAATTTCAGGCTGCCATACAACAGAAAAAGTAATGGCCAAGTTGGTAATGGTCAAATTCAGACCACGCCTCCTTCCAGATGCCCATCCTTAGCAGGCAAAGCCTTGCTCTGAGCTTCCCGCCTGTGCCCCTCCCTACCTCTCTGAGTGGGAGAATGACATTGCAGCAACCATCTTCCTTGCTAGCAAAGCAGATGTAACTGTCTGAGGCGAACATCTGCCCAATGGTGTGACAGCGACTAAAGGGCGTCCAAAGGGAACAGTCCACGACGGCGTGCAGCTTCTCCTGCCTTGGCAACCTGAAGAACGCCCGGAAGAACTCATTCTGTGCTCTGGCTTTCAGGTCTCTGGCAAAGGAGGAAGAGAGAATAAAAAGAGGCAGGCACAGTGAATGAACAAAGGAAAACACCTTTAAACCCGCCAGCACCAGTTCTTGCACGAGACAGGAAATAGAACGGTGTGCACTCCATGGCCAACCACTGTAACAAGGACAAGCTGAATGGGCTGCCTCTGCACAGAAGTAATGTGATGAACTCACTGACCAAAACACACATTTCTGCTGGGTTTGAGTAACTTTGGGATTTACCATAAATAACTGTATAAGAATCAAAAAGTCAGATAGTGACAAGTGTTGATGTGGATGTGGAGAAACGAACTTTCAGACAATGCTGGGGGCAATGTAAAGCGGTGCAGCCATTTTAGAAAATAGTCTGGCTGTTCCTTAAAAGGTTAAACATGAAATCACCATATGACCCAGCAATTCCACTTGTAGGTATATACCCAAGAGAAGGGAATACGTATGTCTACTCAAAAACTCTTATGTACATGTTCCTAGCAGCCTTCTTCATAAAGGCCCCAAATCAGAAACAATCCAAACATCCATAAACTGATAAATGGATAAAAAAATGTGATAGATCCATGCAATGGAATATTACTCAGCCACAAAGAGAAATGAAGTACTGACACCGGCTACAACATGGATAAATCCTAAAAACATTACGCCAAGTGAAAGAACCCAGATACAAAAGACTACCTATTGCCTGATTACATTTAAATTGAAATTTCCAGAATAAGCAACTCTATAAAGACAAAAGATAGATCAGTGGCTGCTTAAGGCTGGAGGAATGGGGACAGATGGAGTGACTGCTCGTGAGTACGAGTTTTCTTCTTGTGGCAATGACAATGTTCTGGCACTGATCGCGGTGACAGTTGCACAGCTGTGACTATACTAAACACCACTGAATGGGACACTTTAAGAGAGTGAACAGTATGGTATGTGAATTACATCTCAAAAAATTGGTTAAAATTTTTAGATCAGTGCCTGGCATATAGTAAGTGCTCAATAAACATTAGTTATTATTATCTTTTTAAAAAAGCATCAGAGTAAAGTACCATTGGAGAGCAGAAGCCCCATCGATGTCATATCGGTCTTGACAACAGACAATGATGGGGAGTGAGGGTGAAGCGATTCTACCCCAGGAACTCCTAGACCCTGATTCTTGGCCCTAAAACCCGATAAAGCTAGATGACAGCCAAATTATAATGTATGAAAATACTGATGAATTTATGTCACGTCTCAAAATTCTAACAGGGGGAAAAGCCAAAGAACTGAAGTAAACAATTTTCTGTCATTAAATGAGAGTTCTTTAGATTTACCTGAGAGAATCAGAATGCTAAAAGTCAGGTACCTGAACTCTTGGCTTTCTTATTAGCTGTGTTACCCCGGACAAGCCCTTCTTGCTCTCATTCTGACGTCTATAAATAGAAACGACACCTGTTTCAAGGGATGAATCCCTGTGAATATAAAATGTCCACAATATTATAAAAGAGAAAAAGCAGGTAAGAAGTAGCATTTTATAGTACGATCTCATTTATATAAGTTTTATAAAATCTGTAGAAACTAATGTGTAAAAAGAATTTCCTTAATATGTTAATAATGGTTGTCTCTGCATAGTGAGATTTCCATTTTCCATTTTTATTCAGCTAAAATTTTCTACTTTACCACATATTAGCTTCTAAAAATGAAGCTATTTAAATAAGCTATTTTTGTTCAGGAAAAGAATAACTTTTAAAACGTTGCATAAATGTAAGCTATTAAACCTGCACTCTAGCCTCTGCAGCACAGCCTGGGTGATTTTTTAGAGATGAATTGGTCGTGCAGCCCCCTGATGCCACCACCCTGCCCCGCCCCCGGCCATACCCCTTCCACACCATGTCCCCTATGCACCAGTTGTCACATGCCACCTTCACATGGATGTCTTCCGAGGAGACGTCCCAGAGAGATGGGCAGTCCAGGGAGTTTACTATTGAACCATCACCAAGGGAAGATACAAGCATTCCATAAAGCCCTCTGGGCAGAGAAATGGTATGAATGCTACAGGTCAGACAGGGCCAGTGACCGTGGGCCAAAGCCGTGGTCCTCAGATACCCGACATGACATAGATGGCTATTTCTGAGGAAATTGCTTCTTCCAGAGAGGAGCTGGGAGAAGCAGGGACAGTAATGCGAATGGTTTAGAAGTGCATGCACCTCGTAAAGCAAGGCCCCTCAAGGGTCACCCCAGCTCCCTGATAACTGATCTCTGTCAAAAGCCTTTAAATTGAAAATGTAATCCAACTGTCCCTGAAGTATGTGGGCCACGCTGGTTTTGCTGAAAGTAAAGCCAGTGTCTCCTACCTGTTCATATCTTATCAGGTCACCACCGAATTCTACTGTTGTCCTTTCCTTCTTGTCCCCTTAGGAGGTGGTTAATACACCACCACCTGAATCCCAGTAGCTCGTGCTGAGTGCAGGGAGGGCTTATATTTACTTACTTGCACCCAACCCTTCTTAAGAATAAGATATTCGGTTATCTGAGGCAGATTAAAACCATTTTTTTTTCTATTCAGGGCACCTGCTGCCTCAGCCAACGGCTCAGTTCAATACCCCTATAGCTTCTAAGCAGTCTGCGTGTACCACATACAGTATTCCCTCTCCCTTCCAGGCTGTTCTGTCACTGTAGAGATCTGTCTCTCACATGTTTAGTAGCCAGAGACCAGTGGCCTCTTGATACGAAAAAGAAAACAGCAGGAGAGACCTTTCCAAACAATCGTCCTTCCTCCCTTCTAGAAAGTTCTCTTCCAATTCTGCCTTTAAATATGTGTTATATACATGACATTTAAGTTTCTAACATAACTGAGCTGAAGAAACAATGACTTACAAGATGGAGCACAAACCCTTCATGATGCTCAGAATAAGACCACCCCATCCTTTGGGTCTCTTCACAGCAGGTGGCAGTTTCAATGCTAAATGTATCAACTCCTTTTTTTGAACAGCAGCAAAAAGCCCACTGGTCACAACCTGCCTTTCAGATCTCCCAGTATTTAATTTTCCCCACTTTTCCTCCATAGAGAAGACCCAGAAACACTGGTCATCATCTAACACTCAGAACATGGTATCTGATCTCAGGCCTGTATGCCATGGCGGGACTCCTCTCTAAGGACAGAACCAAGCCCAGCAGCCTCAGTAGTATTCACTACCCACTGTACACACTGCTGGTGTGCACTGCCAAAGCCACAGCTGCAAAGAGCAGGGGAGGGTGCCGCCAATCCTCCTATCATAACACTTGCCACTTTATGAACTGTAACCATGCTGGGAACACATGTGGGTATCAGAACATGAAGCCATAAACATCAAGTTTGTTGCTAGCCATAAACATCAAGTTTGTTGCTGAAGCTGAAATTAATATGTGTAATCATGCACACCAATGCTACAGAAAAATGTAGACTAAATGCACACATTTTAAAGATTCAGGTTTAATTCCTAAGAACTCAGACCCAAGAAGTTAAGGGGTAGGTACTTCTCTTATTTCTTCACAAACTCAGAATTAGATCTCTCTTAGATCAGGTAAAGGAGTACCAAAAACAGGCATCCCTACCCCTGTTCTCCCATAACCTTTTAGAGTGCTTTTGGTAAGAACTGGGTCAGGCCTGACATACCGGCTCTCCCTCATGTCTTTCAGTCTACATACACAAACCCACATGTAAGAGGCTTAAAGCTGCTTCGAGGCCAAGTGCTTCCCCATGCTCGGGTTGTGTGACAGACAGGCTGGGGCAAGTGGGGTCCATTGGCTCAGGGCACGAGGACCTCTGTGCTGAACAGAAAGCCTTGAGCCACCACTCTCGCCCTTCTGGAATAACTCAGTCCTCTGTGGCCAGTGTGTCTCAGAAAGAAACACAGAAAGGTTTCCAGAGGCTCTCAGCTAGGGGTGCCCACAGATTCAGAACTGGGACCTCCACAACACTGAGCATCTAGAAAGTCTCCTTCCTGACAAGGCTCTGCCCTCACCCTCTGCTCTCCACCGTGTCCCAGACAGACCACAGAGCAGCTAGGTTCCTGCAGGGTGGGATACATGGCCTCCCTTTGTGAGGTTTAGGGGTGCATGAGCCCCCCGGGGATGTCTCCACTGGTTCAAGAAGACACTGAGCTAAGATCAGAAGAACAGAAAGTTGAATAAACGACAGGCAGCGAGCTGAAGCATCCTGATGGGGGACCAGGGAGAACAGCAGGAAAGGGGATGAAGCTGGGCAGAGAAGGCAGAGGATGGTCTGAAAAGCCACCGGGAAGTTAAGGGTGAGCCAGGTGGCCAGGGGGTGAAGGTTTATTACTAAGGACATTCTCCCCTCGGTAGCCACTAGCTACCTTTAAGTACTGGCAGAAAGAGCTTATTTACATTATGAGAAAGTTTCCTTTGACTGCACTGAGTTTTCCTCTAGCATTTTCAGCCCAACAAAACAGATTTTAATGAAGATATTTAATTTCTGCTGAGTGAAGCCCATCACTTCTCCAATCTCTCCCCCCAAAAGTAGCTGGCTATATTTTTTTCACCTTATCATTCACAACTTCTGAATGGATATTTTCTGTTTGGAAAGGTCGGGACCAATGCATTTATTCCCTTCTGCCTTCCATTCTCTCTGGGAGCCCTCCCCGACCTCAGTTGCCTCTGACCTCCTGGACTCTGACTACATACTGGAGAATCCCTGGGCCAGGTCCCACTCTGGGAAGTTTTAACTTGTCGGCACGTTAGACACTGAGCCTGGGGTGAAAACACACCATCCCATCCTCCCTTATTTTGCTGGAGGTACGAGCCTCACTCTGCTCTGTGTCCACAGGTCCCTTGGCCGGGAGCACAGCAGCAGATCATGACTCATCCGCAATCACTAGGCTCATGCCTCAAGGGCACCTTTCTAAAGCCATTATCTGGGAAAGGAAGTGAAAATATATCAACAAAAGAGCCCAAGGACCATTCTAGCACTTCTGACTGAGCCCTTAGCATGAAGAGACTGTTTTCCTAAACTTTAAAACCTGGACTCTCTTGGCAGGATGTCAAATTGACTGAGTCATCACCTGTTTATGTCCATAGGCCTACGTCTCCATGGCAGACAGCTACAAATGAGAACTAGTGAAGGATTAGTAGGCAGAGTGGCATGCCTTTCATTTTTGGAGAAAGTCACTCAAAGTGCCGTGACCAACAAAACACGCCTGGACCAGATTTCGGCCGCCTGCCTCGGGCCAACCCTCGGCACCCTCAGGCACACAGGCATTTCCGCCACTGGCCACCACCAGGGCCCTTTTTGCACTTTTCTCTCTCTCACTTTCTGACAGTTTCAGGGGGGAAGGGGGAGCGGCCTCGTAGAATTCACCCGATTCTGGAATATAAATGGAGACTGCCAACACTGATTAATGTTCTTCCCAAATGGATGGTTTTACCGAAAGGGTCTTAGGTGCTACAGACCTTTGATCTTCCCCTTCTTTCTTCATGAAAACTCTAAACGCACTGCCATTCTGAGACTACCCAATAGAAAGAAACTTTCCTCCATATGTTCAGAGAAGACAGCACTTGTGTTTAAGGAATAGAAATGTTAAAACAGATGAATAAAAAAAAATTTTTTTAATGACTAATGGTTCCCCCAAAATTAAACATAGAATTACCATATGATACAACAATCCCACTCTGGATATATCCAGAAGAAATGAAAGCAGGGTCTTGATGAGATACTTGCACACTCATGTTCATAGCAGCATTACTCACAAAAGCCAGATGATAGAAGCAACAGTGTCCATGGATGAATGAGTAGGTAAGCAAAATGTGATACACTCATGCCATGGAATGTTATTCAGCCTTAAAAAGGAAAGAAATTCTGATCCATGCTACAACATGGATGAACCCTGCGGACATTATACTATGTGAAAAAAGCCAGTCACCAAAGGACAAATACTGGATGATTCCACTTACATGGGGTCCCTGGAGTAGACAGATTCATAGCAATATAAAGTAGAATGGTGGGTGCCAGGGGCTAGAGGAGCGGGGAAAGGGGAGTTGTTGTTTAACAAGTACAGGGTTTCAGTTTTGGAAGATATAGAACCCTGGAGATGGATGGTGGTGACAGTTACTCAACAATTAGAATGTCCTTAATACCACTGAACTGTACACTTAAAAAATGGTTAAGATAGTAAATTTTATGTTATGTGTATTTTAAAAGAATAAAAAAAAAACCTTTTTAATAACTACTAGTATTCAAATAGCAGTGGTCAGTCTGTAACTCCATGAATATATCCAGCCAGGACAGCACTTTATAGGTTGACTTGTTTTTCAAAGGACACCATTGGAATAGTTCACCTTTGCATCCACTCTGCAGTTACACCATTTGAACCACAAAGCCAGAAATCATAGTCAATGTAACAAGTACAGGGTTTCAGTTTTGTAAGATATAGAACCCTGGAGATGGATGGTGGTGACAGTTACTCAACAATTAGAATGTCCTTAATACCACTGAACTGTACACTTAAAAAATGGTTAAGATAGTAAATTTTATGTTATGTGTATTTTAAAAGAATAAAAAAAAAACCTTTTTAATAACTACTAGTATTCAAATAGCAGTGGTCAGTCTGTAACTCCATGAATATATCCAGCCAGGACAGCACTTTATAGGTTGACTTGTTTTTCAAAGGACACCATTGGAATAGTTCACCTTTGCATCCACTCTGCAGTTACACCATTTGAACCACAAAGCCAGAAATCATAGTCAAGCTCAAACAGCACCATTTGAGTTTTAGATGCTAAAGCTGAACTACTTTAATGAACAAATAATCAAGCAACTACCTCACAAGCCTCTGTGACTAGTATCAATTTGGGGCAAGTAATAATGACTGTTGACTGACACTCTTAGTAAGGCACATTTCTAATGACAAATTAGCACCAAAAATAAATCCAGCTGTCCTGAAACTTTTTCTACAAAGTAATTTAAGATGAAAATGCAAATTTTCTTAATGTTCACTAATAAAGCCCAATGCTGATCAGAATTCTATCATGAAGCTGCCTGAATTATATTTTCTTTTTTTTTTTTTTTAAATGAAAATCAATTTTGAAATAATGTCTGAAAAAAGGAAGGATTAGATCTGGAAATGAAAGTCTAAGGCATAAAGGAAATAAATAGTAATCAATGTCAATTACTGTATTTCTATCACAATTCACAACATGGAAAAATCTGGTTTCTGCCACAAGAGAAATGTAAATCTAGTACGACTCAGGCTAACAAAGTGCAGGTCAACAAAGGAGGCGCATGGCCTGGTCCCATTCGGTGAGGCCACCTGGGGCCAGCAGCTCTTACTTCTTGGTGATCTGGCTTGGCTCCTGCAGACCTGGGTCCAGGTCGAAGCCCTCGTTATCCAGCAGCCTCCGCAGTGTCACATCAGCTAGCTGCTCCATGATCTTAAACACCTCCTCGAGGTTCAAGAACATGGAGAAGTCTCGCTCCTTCTTGTGTGTGGTAATTCGGATAGTAGCCGTCAGAAAGACGTTGGATGTTTTTTCTAACTTCTGGATATCAACCCAAGGGATTACAAGTTTAACTAGAAGAGAAAAAGGACAAACACGTATTTTACACCCAAGATCAACCCCAAATTTGTGTGCATCAACAACAGTCCAAGGTTTTCCTTAAGCTGAAATACAAATATCTTTGAAATCAGAGCAGGAAAGAGGAAGCACAGAACTGTTTGACGTCTGCTTGTTACAACAATTACTGTTTTAATGATTTTCTTAAGGGTTTAAGTAAAAATTCTCAAGTTACTGGCTACTGTACACGTCCAAGGAATATATATTGAAATATCAAGTTAACGTGAAAACTTTCTAAAAAATATTTAAGCTTAAATATTTGCAAAATATGCAGAAGCTTCTGAATCCACATAAATGCTGGCTTCTAAAGTAGCATTCATGGCATAAGCCATGAAAAAAGGAGTGCAAAAGAAGATTATTCATGATCTCTTCCAGAGAGACAGGCTTAACATTTAGACTGTGGCAAATGACAGTTGTTCTAGTTTCAGAAGACAGAGTACAAGTCGTTTTTATGAAACTCCTTTTAAAGTAATGCCGTATAAACAGTCCATTTAATAAACAAGTGTTCTATTCTCAGAAATGTTTCCAGTACACTGGTGGCTTGGAATAGTGTGCAAATGGGGAAGAGAGATGCAGAACTACCTAAAATAATAATAATAACTTATTAAATATTAGGAATCATTTATTTTTTCCAAATTTTATCATCCTAACAAAATTAGGTCTGGTAACAATGATAACTGTTGGAAAAGAACTCATTTTCCTTTTCAAATAAAGAAGGGGATTAAGTGTTTTTCTTTCTACCTCGTTTTTCCGTTTATTTTGCAATAATGTCATCAGTGCTCAATTTTAAAAAGCCACATTTCTATATCATACTTGAAAATCAGCTCCTTCAGCTACTTCTAGCTGTTTTCACAGTCTTGTTACACACGCGCGCATGCACACACACATACCCACACACACACACACACACTCCATCTACACCATCAGCTTTTATTGGTTAAGCATCTCCTTTGTGAAGAGCTTGTTTAAATAAGGAAAACAGACATGTAAAGAAATAAGTAACCAATGACTTGACAGAGCCCAAAATAGAAACATAAACATGGTGCCAATTATAAGGGACCAAGGAAGGGCCCTGAAGGTGATAAAATTTGAATTAAATTTTTAAAGTTGAACAGGAGTTTCCAAAGAGACATAAGAATGGGAAAATGAAGGAAAGACCGGGCATCAATTTTGAGAAGCACTTCTGAAAGCAGGAGAACAAGGATGGCAAAGATTAGGTCAGAACACATTCCAGGTGGGGTGCGGAGAGCTGTGCTCACAGAGTGTAGAGACTAGAGCATCTGAACTGGGGCTGGCGGTGTGGGCAAGAAAAGGGACGACATGTGTAGGAAGCTGTCTACAGCCGGATTCAAGAGGGGCCCCTTCCACTGGTTTGATGTAAAGCATAAACTAAAATGCAGAAAGAAAAAGAAAATGTGTGTGAGCGCGTGCACATGCTCAGGGCTGGGTTTTACGTGACCCCTGTGTTAATAAGCCCCACCCCTGTAGAACTACTGGGCCATCAGTTATGATGCTGTGTTCGGAGCAACATACAGCAGTGAAACCCCTTCAGGAGCCAGATGAAGTGAGCTACCCAGAAATGTTTCTCAAGGCAGTAGAAGAAAAAGGACTCACAAATCAAACTCACAGTAGTGCTATATATCATGAAATACAATTGTCTGTAGAAATGATTTGGAAATTAATCAAGTATCATCTGTTATCTCAACTGCTTATTTAAATCTTTAGTCATCTGACTCTTCTTGTTAACGACTTGTCTGGGGACCAGCACTGAACACCCCAAGGGCCACCATCATCTGGGAAAGACCAAATCCCTCCCAAGGCCAGCGCCAACCTCACTCACGTTCCTTGCCGAGGAAGAAGGAGTAGAAGCAGAGGTGGTTGATGCTGAGGTACAGCCAGCCCTGGCGGGGAACCCTGCCCTTCCAGCAGCAGCAGGAGTAATAGGTGATCAGCTTCTCTGCCTCTGGGAAGTTGAACCTGGCCTCAAACTTGACCAAGGCCTCTCGGAATTTCTCGGGGTCCTCTTCCTGCTCGGCAAGCCTGCTGCTCGTCTCCTCAGCAATCAAAGCCTGAAGCCCAGAAAAATAATGGACCATTGTTCAGGGAGAACAAGGGGAGGCAAGAAGGGATAAGAAGCAGGAAGGTGTCTGCACTGCTCAACAAGAGACATATAGGATGAATGAGAACAGCTCACTACACCACTGCTCACTACACCGTCTGTCCATACCCAGAAACACGCCACAGTGGGAAGAAACAAGCTGGAGGACCAACACCTATGAACAGGTCTCTTGCTTGGCCACTGACCAGCTGTGAGTCGGGTGAGTCACTGACTGCTAAACCTCGGTTCTCAAACAAATCATTATTTGATATACCTCCCTGTCCTTCCCTAGAGGGATATGAGGATCAAACAGTCAGCTCAAGCATGTGAACTCAATGTACCAACCCTGAAAAACTACCTAAGTTGGAGTTAAAAGTCTTTCTTTAGAAAATGAATGAATTGTCTTCCTTGTGAGGTTCGAAAATTTTGGTCTAAAGCTAACAATTGCCTGACTGTGTGACACCAGATATGTTTCATTACTATTACATATACTCTATAGTCTTCTAAGGGAGAAACATTATAACCAAGGAACCTACCTTTACCTTCCCTTTGACAAAGCTGGCAATGTCCTCTTTATTATCAAAGACAGACAAGGTATGGAGGAGATTTTGCTCCAGCCAGTCCCAATGCTGGCTTATTTCCTCTAACGTTGCACCTGGGTTAGAAGAGAAAAACACACCGAGATTAAAAGACAAAACTAATTCCCAGAACATGAATTTGTTTTCTAAATATCATGAATCCTGTGATTATGGTATTGAAACAGCCCAGTTTCTCACATGCTGGACCACAGTTTGCCAGCGGACAAGGCAGGCACCCTCCACTGGACCCAGTTTCCCCCACCACAGCACTGGGATTTGTGAATGCCTGCTGCACTGCCACACAGATGAGCCAGCCAATCAATCAGGTTACTCTTCACCACTTCTCTGTGGATGTCCTGCTTCCCTAACATAGGGAGTCCCGCTACACAAATGACAGAAATATTTGTCATTAGACAGCTAGCTATTCCAGGGATACAAGCCCCAAGCAGCAGATCAACTCACACTGGTCTCAGATAGCTTCACCTGTGAAAATGACAGATGCTCAAGAAGGACCTCAGCCCAGGTTGACAGAGGAAGAGCCTTGGTTGCCCAAGGGCATGAACACTTGCAATAGGCATGGTTAACCCCAACACCTAGGAGACTTCCAGGTTTACGAATTTGTATTCCACGTCATTGACAATAGCCTTTCAAAATATATATAAAAAGGTTTCATAGTACATGTTAAAACGAAAACGCAAAAATGTTAAATTGTATAAAGTTAATTTCTTTCAAAGGCAATGATGACAACAACGTCGCCCTATCATTAAATATTAAGCGACACCATTACCAAAATGCTTGATTGTTTTAGTTGGCCATATTCTCTCTCAGGGAGCCCTCTTTTCCTCTCCACTGGACAATGGGCACCTGGACACAGGGACGGTGCCAGCTCCTAGTGAAAAACCTGGCCCATAGCAGATGCTCAATAATGTCCACTGACTTAAAGCAAGTGTGGTCCTGGACAAGAAAAGGCACGTGTGCACCAGGTATGTCTAGTCCAGAAATAGATGAATGCCTGGCAAGGAGAGCCGGATTTGCAAAATGGGAAGCAGGAGGTGCCATAATCTCAAAGAAGTGAAAGGCTGTGGAACAAACCACAGTGCATGATGATCACGCTAATGTGGGAGGCACGACGGTCAACAGAGCCACGTGCCACTTATGCAAAAGCCAGACATGCATTTTATTAATGCTGAATTTTTATGTTATTTGCAGCTTTCTTCTCCCCAAAGTATAAATGTACATGAGGATCTTATAAATATCACACACATGAACAGGACAGAAAACTCACTCTGGACTCATGGACCCAGGGCCAGGGACTAGGAAGAACACCTGTGTTAGGACTGTCATTCTGAATGGGCAGCTGAGGAAGGCCTAAACAGAAGGTTCTAACAGAATACTTCATGAGGAAAAACAAGAGTTTAAAACAATGGCATTTATTTCCTTGTATTCTCCCAATTTTAGGCATGGCCTTGCTAAAGCAATGTTCTTTGGTCATCGTTAAAGCCAGTCTTCCCATCATGGAGGATCGGCTCCATGGGTCTCTCTACTCAACACCTGTCATCAGGGTCAGGACATCTGAGCCTGGACCAGGAGCGTCTGACCAGTCTCTTTGTCAGCTCTGGCTGCTTTAACAGAACACTGTAGACTGTCTCAAACAACAGATTTTATTTTTCACGGTTCTGGAAGCTAAGAGTCCCAAATCAAGGTGTCGGCAGATTTGGTTCCTAGTGAGACTCCTTTCTGGCTTGTAGACAGCTGCCTTCTCCCTTTGTCCTTTCATGGCAGAGAAAGAGAGAGCGAGCAGGATCCCTAGTCTCCTCCTCTTCTTGTGAGGACACAAACCCCCCACATGACTTCATCTAATATCTCCCAAAGTTCTCACCTCCAAATACTATTGCACTGGGGGCTAGGGCTTCAACATCTGAATTTTGTGAGGGTCACAATTTAGTCCATAACAACCAGCTATCCTCCATCCCACCTCCCTTTACAGATCAATAAACACAAGCAGCAGCGCACATGGGGTTTAGGAGAGCTAGCTCTGGGGTGAGTGTCACCATCCTATTACTCTCTGCTTCCCTCCCACCTGGGAGGGCCCCCGTGGTGTCCAGAAACCCCTGGCCCTCAGGCTTCCCATTCCTCTTGTGAAAAGGAAAGATTATTTTGAAACAAAATCAAACCAAACAATTCCAGCATTCACAGCATGACCTTCCCAAAGCTTCCAAATGCCATCTACCTGTCCTTAGGACCCACACTGCCTGCTTGATTCCTCACACTCAGTGCTGACGTGGCTTACGTGTATATCTGGTTCACCTGCCTCTTGCCTAAACTTCACTTGTTCAGCGTCCTCAGATGGCAATAGTATAGGTATCCATCACCGATAAAAATAAAAATAAAAAGGGGCAGGGACCTAAATCTCAACACTATAGCAACAGTGTCTGGGTCTTCGCTGAAGCCTGTACAGCCAATACGCCTGTACAGGTTTTCTCTCTCTAAATCCTTATCCTTTATTATCCATCATAATAAAACCAACTGATCAGAATTTTTTAAAGCAAGAAATAAATAGAGAAAGGAATATCTTTATTGGCCTTTAATCTGTTGTATGCTTTCATGTACTTCTTATTTACAAACAGATCTGGAGGAATGAGGAAAAACAAGAAAGGGGAGAGAATTTTTCTATGTTAGGCAGTGTCCCACTGATGTGTAGTGAAGACTGAATGAGGAAGTGGAGGCTCCAGTACCTCTCTAAGATCAAGTATATCACATGAAAGGCAAACTAGGTACGGACACATTCTCTACAACCTTGAAGTATCCTGGAGTCCTCCCAGAATAAGCTGTATTTCAATTTTTAAATAACACTTACACAATCTGTAGGTCCAGTAATTCCTGCGGCTTGACACTTTAAAAAGGTACTTTGTGCTTATATGCAGAGTGAGCACTCTCCCTGCAATCCCATTTTCCTGAGTGTTATCTTCCTGGGTGACATGAAGTAGGTTTTCATTTATCCTATTATACTCATAGGGCCAACACAGTTGTTAACAGCTAACCACGTGTGTCTTCCTCAACTGATAACCACAGACACCATGGATAAGTTATAATGAAGTCCCAATAGAGTATATCAAGTGGAATTAAGATTTGAAACAGTCATCAAAAAATTAAACTATTATTCTTATAAGAATTCTACCTACTGTGGAGGAATTTATGATAGGAAAAGATAATTCTAAAACAAAACCGAGCCCACACCTTGAGAGAAAATAAACACACATAAAATCCATCCCTCAGCCACAGTTACTCTGTTCCTGAACATAAGATGTAGCTGTAGGGCTCTCCCAGTAAAGGCAATCAGTATAATGAAATTTTTCCACTCCACTGTCTTCCATTTCCTATGAAAGTTGCCAAATGGCAGGAAAATTTTCCAAACTATGATTTCCTCTGCAGGGAAGTCTTATGATGGGCTTCAAAAATACCGTAAACCAATGTGAGCTGGCTGCACATCCGTGACTGTCAAAGACTAAAAAGCAACGTTGCTCCACATGTCGCCATGTTTTCCAAATTACATGAAGTAGCCCATTGGAAAATCACTTAAAAAATGAAATAGAATAGAAATTAGAATATATGCCACTTTATAAGGGCAGCTACTGACAAAGTATTTATTAAAGTTATGCACAAACACAAATATATTTCTGTCAGTGGGTCACGGTCAAAAAAAGTTTGAAATCTACCATGTTACAGACATACAAGTGGTGGGAAATGTAAAAATGACAAGATAAAGTGAGAATTTGAAACCTACTGAAGGGCAGAATGACAAAAAGCCTACAAATTAACTCAACACTATAGCAGTATTCCCACTGCTTCTTGCTATGGGCCTTTCAAGACAGGACAGCTGTTGTCAAGTCTCGAATTTGTCCACCCAACTTCACATGATGAAGCCCTAAAATCTAATGTGTCCATATTTGAAGACAAGGCCTTTAACGAGGTAATTAAGGGCTAACAGTGTCATATTGGTAGGGCTCTGATCTGATAGGACTGCTGTTATAAGAAGAGAAAGACATCTGGGATCTGCCAAGTGAGGACACAGCAAGAAGCCAGCTGTCTACAAGCCAAAGAGAGAGGCCCTCAGAGGAATCCAACCCTGCCAGAACCTTGATCTTGGACTTTCCAGCCTGGACTGTGAGAAAATCAATTTCCGTGTTTTAGCTACCCAATCCATAGTCTTGTTATAGCAGCCCACACAGATTAACACAGTTTTCAAAAACCAAAATTTATAAGAGTACTATGGATTATAACAGAAGTCCAATCAGCAAAATTATACTTTGTTTTATTAAGGTCCCTAATTTTACAGAAAAAGACTTTTCTCTAAGAAAATTAAAGTTCAGTGGATCTTAAACATTATCCGCAGAAGTCAAAAATAAGATTTATAAATCCCTATGTAAAACTAAAATACACTATGAGGAATCTTAAGACCACAAAACAAGCAGTACTGATGATTTATAAATGACCAACCCTATGTTCTAAGAAAGAAAAGCCAGAGGTGGCAGACAAAGGACATTTTCTGAATGCCTAGCATGATCCAAGGATTTTGTTAGGTATGCCATATACTTTGTAATGTTTATCTTTATAAAAAGAGTGCAAGGTAGGTATTATTATTTCCATTTTCTAGGTGCAGAAAAGAGCCAACCTGGAGGCCTGGTTCTATCTGTAACACAGTGGAGGTGGGAGACTGGAGAGACAGGGGTGTAGGGGGAGGGGCAGCTCCCAACAGCTGAATCACTTTTTAATGCACACATAATATTTATTCTCTAATGTTTTCACTAGAGGTATTTTCAGAAAATAAAATAAGCATCCCATTGCCTATACCTATAGCTTCTGCACAAACAGCCATAAATAATCTGATCCAAGCTTCAATTTTACAAATCACCTCTGTCTATCTCTACATAATAATTATCCAACCGAATTTTCTTCTCCAGCCACCTAGATCTTAACTGACAATGAAGTGGTCATCTCACGAGCACAGCTCAGATATGCTCCTTTGTAATAGTGAAACATTTCTCTACTGTCCAAACACTAAATGTCTACTGTCTAA